ATCCTTCTTCGCGGTATTTCAATAACTGTTGATTAAACAGTCTGGCGTAGGGAGAGTTTATTGGAAGACCAAATGCAACTGGGATTGTCAGTAATTTTTCTCCGACAAAGAAGACTTCACAGCTGTCAGAAAGGTAGTATTCAAGTATCAGTGTATCGTCGATGAGACCAAATCTACCGTCATCAACCATTTCCAACCCACTATCAAAATTTGAAACAAATTCTGATTGGCTCCCTAGCTTTTGATAATTTGTATCGATATTGTTTTCCAGAAGGACTGCAGTTATGGATTCGTGTCGTACACCCCATTTATAAACAGTTTGAGTTAGCAGCTCAGAAGGTTTACTTAAAGGTACACCTAGGTTGTCAAGAGTCATGAAGGCTGTGAGGTTGGCTCCATACATATTGGTGATAAGCAGAACAAAGAACCACCATGTCAGAACTATCATTCGTCCAGATGGGCTTCTCGGCAAAGGTTCACCTCCCTGTCCAAGTAAACTGCCTCCGATTACCCAAACAGCATTAGCCAGAGAAATGGTATCGAAATCGGTCTCTTTTTGTGCTTCAGTTACCAAACACTTGGCTGAATCATCTGTAGGATCCTCACAACTTTTACAGCAACAAGTTTCATTTGCAAAAGCTATTATCCCGTGCTGATCACAGGGAGAAAGCTTCCCTAAAATAGTCTGGAATACTGAAATGAGGGCAAATGCTATGAAGATTGCAAACCATGTCGAAAAGGCAAATGGACTAAAGAAAAAGAATCTGTTATCTGTTTTAGACTCCCCTTTCATTATGAGACTTATTCCAGAGTCCAGGTAGGAGAAAGTAAAGTCTATATACGATCTTCTCTGTGAGCTTACTGATAAATCTATGGCAATTATATCGATCCTGTTTTTTAAGAGGTCACCTACTAAGCCATCCCACTCTCCTTCTGGGTTGCTTTCAGTTTTATTCAAGAGGCCATATTTCTTATCTTCTGGCTCAACAAACTCGTATGTAAAATTAAGGTCTTTTGCCAATCTTTTAACAATCTTTGGGCAGATTCCTTCCCAGCACTGTACTTCTTTGCAACCTTCCACATTTGTATTTATAGCAAAAGGAGGCGAATGTATGGTCCCTACCTTCAAGTGCTGACCTTCTAATGTATCAGCAATGCCTGTCGGGGATTTCTTGACTCCTCCAAGAAATTGAATATCTCCTGAGGTTATTTTGAGTCCTTGAGCAGTTGTCCACGTCCCTATTCCCGAAAATCCACTATCAAGTCCTGTCCCTGGATCTATGAAATTCACAATTCTGTATTGGCTTTCATGTTTGTTTGCGTGATTTCTATCTAAATTATAAGACCCAGAAGGTCCAGTATAATTAGTGGTCGTCAGATAACGTGCAATGTCTTCACCAGCTGCCCATTTGTTGTTTCCACATCTTGCATCTGCAACAGTTCCTGTCAACTCATTAATGTTATCTTGGAGTGCTTCAGTGGCGAGCATGGCTGCATCATATAGCATCACTACTTGAGGGGTAATGTCACTACCTTTTATCTCTCCTGCAAGAGATGACACAGCATCACGTTTAAAATCTCTATAGGTTGGATTCACAGTATCCACATAAAGAGATATACCTATCAGGCCCTCATAGTAGATGGGAAAATGGAGCCGACGAATCATATCTGTTGTAACCCTCAGTGATTTTGGGGATGAAACAATACTTTCTGTGACAATCCAAACAAAATCCTCGTTCAACAGACCTGCATTATAAGCCTCTTGCAGGACAAATCTAGCGTAGTAATCCTCGCAATGTAAAACAAATACTCTATCTAGAGAATCTACCATGTTCTTTAGAATATCCTCCAAGTACAGGTCAGCAGGATCACTAAAAGCTTCAAAGAAGTATACTGAAGCATCAAACTCTTCCTGGGCAGTGACATCAGCCGTTTTCTGTATCAACAACTTTTGTAGAGTTGTAGCACTGTGGATGCCGTAGTTACTGTCAGAGGATATCAGGGAAATCTTTGTCCAACCAAATTTGGTCAGCAAGTCCACAATAACCTGTGCCTGGGTCAAATCTGAGGGGGCCATGACATACAGTTGGTTCCTTCCTGCAGTTTGTAGATAAGAATCTGTTGCTGCAGATGCGATGAGAGGCATCTTGACGCTGTTGAATACATCTGCTTGGGTCGCAATATTGTTGGAAATATCTGGAGATATCACCACTACCACATCTTTAGTCAGTAAGTTGCATGAGGCATTGACCACTTCAAAAAGGGAAGACCCATCGTATTCCTCGAACTCGTAGTTAAACTTGATCCCAGTAGAATTGCTGTTGACTTTATTGATGGCATGCTTTATTATGTGCTTAAAGATGGGCAAGGAGTCTTCGTCTTTTTCGTTAAGCATGAAGCCTAGGGTATATTCTTGCTGAAGGCACCCAAGTGGCAGGAAAATGCAGAGGAGAATTACGATGATCATAAGTTCCTATAAACGTTATTTTTAGTAAATATATTTTTTGTTAGCATAATAAAAGTGCAGGTGAACGAATAATATGAATTAGTGTAACAGTCTTCATTGATTTAAATGAAGGAGGTAACATTGTCACAAATAGAAATGGAATGAAAAAGGACAAGAGCTAGTATTATATCTAGCAGGTAATGAGGTAAAAGGTCAATATTGAATTTTGTCCCAAAATGCCAATCCTGAATAGAAATATTCCAATTTCCAATGGACAGTGATATCACTTCCCAATGAAAATCTTATGGGAGAAAGATCACATGGTTCTAAAAAAAGCCTGCTGGCTGCTCGTAAAATTAGAATGATAATGATGAGCTATTGATTAATTGATAATCTAAGTTTAATCTTTACTCAGGATTAGTTATTAGATATAAAAATATATAATTACGTATAACATTATTGTCTTATCACATGGCATTTTCTTGTTGGATAAGAAAATGATATTATATAAGTAGGTAGTAAGGGTAGTAATCGAAAATTATTTTATTTCTCGGATTTACAAATTTTTGGTATCATGGTATTATAATAGTTCTAACCATGATGAGATCAGAACACACGGCCATAATTCTGGGAAAACTTGCAATGTTCGAATATCGTGATTTAAAAACGGTCTTGAATCAAAAAAAGTTTCTAAAAAAACGGCGTTATTTTGCTGAAATTTGGGCTCAGCGTCGGACTGTTTTCAAAAGCTCATGATAAATTGTATTAAAATGATGCAATCATGAAAACTTCTGGAATCTATGTACAAATAACGTTTTCAAACGATAGCATAAAGTATGAATTGTTTACAAATATCGGTGTATTTGATAAACGCAATAATATAGGAAAAGTCAGAAACACGCCTACTCGCATACATTTTGAAATATAACTCGAGCTACAAACTTCTTAAAATACCGGAAACAACCGTTTCAGTGAAATGGTGCCAAGAAGTCTGTGGCACGCGCAGTAGATCTATCGCACGTGAGAAATGGTTCAGTCAAATGTCTTTGATTTGCGCTTTGTTTAAATGGATGATGTAGACTCGTGAAACTTTCCATTAGTAAAGCTCAAAGTATTTCCATTCTTACAAACTTCATTCTGAACTAATTGCACAAAAGATTTTTTTTTCTTTTTAAAGAGAGGCTGGGCCAAGAAAGCCCACGAGAAACCATTGAGATGCTCTGCCTACCTCTGGGGTGTGGCAACCCTGGGGAAGGTTGCCGGTGAAATCAGAGTGAATGGTGGAGGATGGTATAAGAAGTGATGTGAGTCAAAATGATACGTTTAAATGCTTAATGCCAGCTGGGTTTAGAAAAGTAAAACGAGACGAGACAGCATATGAGATAATACTTTAAGTCACCCCGGTCTGACCCAGCTCTTCCGGCACAATTAAGCGTTTGGTGCGGTTTGCGAAATTGACAATTGTGGTGATGTGTTGGTTGTCGAATATGTCATTGACAGAGAGGTAGTAGTCCTGGAAATATTGACCTCTAATTTGGGCAATAGCCGGACACTGTCCAAGGAAGTGTGGGACAGTTTCCTCTCCGTCGCCTCACATAAGTCAAGCACTGGTGTTTGATTTGCAAATGGTGTGAAGGTGTTTGTTTAAGCCGCAGTGACCCGTGATGAGGTAAACTGCAGTTCTGTAATCTTGTCTGTTGTTGCTGAGTGTAGTGTTGAGGTTTTTGATGATTTTGGCGTGCTTGTGACCGAGTGTCAGTTTGGTGTGTCTGGGACTGCAGTTAATTAAGTTTCCTGATTCAGTCTGTTGACTTTGTTGTCGATTTTACGCTTGATGTAGGATTGTGGAATTGGACACTTCAAAGTGGATTCACTGATTGTACCAAGCTTGGCCAGCTCATCTGCTTTTTCGTTCCCCCACAATCCGATGTGTGCTGCAATCCATCGTATCTCTAGCGTGTTGTTGGATCCAAGTACATTAAGAGAATCGTAACAGTCTCTTGTAGTTCTACTCCGCGTTGAAAGCGCAGAGATAGCTTGTATAAATGAGAGACTGTCAGACCATATGATGATATGAGTGTTGGTATAGATAGAGAGATATTTGCAAGCTTCAATGATGGCGGTGAGCTCTGTTTGGTAAACAGTGCAATAATCAGGGAGCTTGAATGATCTTTCTTCAAGGGTGGTGTTATTGTTGTCAGTTGTGATGATATTATAGCCAGCCCCGCATCACTGACATCAGAGATTACGTCGCTAAATATGCTAACCGCGGCGCAGGGTTACCACCTAATATAAGCAGTCAAATGATTAAACGGTGTGACTATATTATTGCTAACTTAGAATAATTAATTTATAATTATCCTAATGTACAGTAAAACCTACAAAAGTACTGACCACTGTTATTGTGTTAAACCTAGAAATATACCCTAATTTGCAGAAAAAACATGACTCACCCGCACTTTCATGCCTGTACACTGTACAGTGTACCCCAATAATACCACATATTCCGTAATATCTCATCCTACAGCTTGTTAACATAAAACTTAATCTGCAGGTATCTGAAACTGGGTGCCGCACGACGAGAGGAGGTCACAACTCAACTTCAAGCCTGCTCAGCCACTGTCTTCTCCTTCCTGGAGTTTGTATCTGCTAACAGTGCATCGCTCCCTAACCCTGACTTTACTCACAATCATGTGTTCAGATGTTGGGGCAGCTGGCTTGTGTTAGGTAATTCTAATACTCCTTATCTACAGGGCCGGGGGCGGGGGGGTAAATTAGGCAATTGGTAATTAGGCAATTAGGTCATTAGGGCAACTACTCCTTATCTACGGGCATAGTATTATACAGGGGGGCCAAAAGTCAGTACCCATATATATATATATATATATCGTCTCGCTTTATATTATATAGTAAGATTGTATTCCCCTCACTTTTATAATTTGAAAATTCAAAAAATCAAGCGTTACATTTCAGCCATGCAAAATTACAATGACATATTTTGATATATTATACTAAATGATAAATGGTACTGCAATATAAGTTGCTTATTGTGTGGCCGGATGACAACTAACTAGAAAAGAAAAATAAACTTGATTATATGATAATTAATTCGGCTGAACCAACACATAGCAAGAGCCGCATTAACGTTGGGGCCGTCGAAACGTGTGAAATTTGTGTATAAAATGTAGCCAACGGTCCATGATTAAATTCACTAAACGCATATCTAATGCGTTTCTAATTTAATTAATCGATCTAGCTACAAATTGTTCCAAGTTATCTGCCGAGTTTAATGAATAATATAAAGATATATACCAAATTGTCAAATTATCTATTTAGAACATGAGAATTTCTTTGTGATTTTACCGCACCAGGTGCTGTTAAGCTTTATGATTTGCACAATTTAAGCGTGAGAATTTTGTAATCGGTCACATTTTATGAATACCTAAGTGACGTAATTTAGGTCTCAAAAGCTTAATTATTGAACATCTTAACATATCTCTCAAACGGGTCCGCTTACCCTATCAAATACGAAAATGAGAAAATACGAAAAGGTGAAAAAAGAGACGATCTCGGCGGCTATAAATTATAAAATGACCTTTTTAAACTTTTCCGGCGATCAGCTTTAAACTCTGCGGTTGTTAAGTATGTAAATAGTCATTATGAATTTATACTAACCGTTTTATTTATATAAACCGTTTTTTGTGATTAATGCTCGTCAAAACTTAAATAGTCTGGTGGATATCTTCAGGGATTGGCTTATTTTTTTACTGCAATCTGGCCATATAAAATATCTCAAGCCCTCCCTATTTTGTTTTGACCATATGAATTGGGTTTAATTATGATTATTCTCATTTTAAATCCCCATTGCTGGACTAATATGGAACAGTTATTATATGCAATTTGCATGAAATTTGTGAACATAAAGAAGACAGCAAGTTCCACAAACCTTGCTTAATACTTGTTATTGGTTTAGGAAATACTAATGATAAATATCATATTAAATTATCTAACTTACGTTAACTATCCGAAATTAACTCAAATAAACGTCCGCAGGTGAGTTTGATGCACGTGCAGTCGCGCAAGGGAAGATACTCCCGAAGATATTCGAGATTGTGACAGTAAACACACCCTGTCACACGTGTTATGACAGTGCTTGTGACGCGGTCTGCAGCGCTACTTACGCAATGGAGGACCTTCACGTCAACAGGTAAAATATTTGGAATACGATTAATAAAATTCATAAAGTGTACTGTGTATAATATGAAATATTTAACGTCAAAAAGCAAGAATTAACTAAACACATAAAATAGTCTGCAGTTATGCTAAAAAAGCTGCAGATATACTAAGAAAGCTGCAGATATACTAAGAAAGCTGCAGATATACTCAGAAAGCTGCAGATATACTAAGAAAGCTGCAGACATACTAAGATACTCCATATTGTAAAGTATTGCATGATGCGTTAGGTGCTGTCTAGCTAGAACGACGACTTTATCACGTACTCAGAAAGCACCGTCTAGCTAGAACAAAGACTCCATCACGTAGTCAATTACGTAACGTGTTACACCTAGCTGGAGTCTTATACTTTAATTATATAAAAAATATTTATTATAATAAATATTTAAATTTAAACTGAGTGATGAAAGTAACTCAAATAAAAACCCGAATTATCCTAATTGAACCACTAATGGGTGTGTAATATGAGGTCAAATTTTTGCAGCAAAAATCTCTCAACCACCTGCACCCATCACTAACCACTAAGTGTTCTGGTGATAGAAAATAATATTGGCGTTAGTATTTGAACCCCAAAAATTAAATTTAAGAATAAAAACTAGCTGCGTACGTTTGAAGTGAACAGGTCTTTAAAACTAGCTGCGTACGTGTGAAGTGAACAGTTCTTAATCCTGACATCGGTAACAATCCGGCACAAGGAGGGGTGAAACAATAGACAACCACAAAACAATCTCAAGACAATCACAAGACAAAGCCACTGGTATGATCGTGACATCGACAACAATCCGGCACAAAGAGGTGTGTAACAATAGACTAGACAATCACAAGACAATTTCAAGACAATCACAAGACAAAGCCAACTGGTATGTGTGTCTCTCTCTCTTTCTCTCTCTGTTCTGGTCAACCCACTTCCGTTGTAATACTTCTGCGGGCAGACAAGGGACTTCCAAGCAAGGTCAAAGCCTGGGAGATTTTTCTCTATGCGGAGATGGGCCTAGGTTGAGTTCCTAGTGTGGGATTTAGCAAAAGTTCCTGGTGAAGAATCCAAGGAGGTTACCCAAAAGAGTTTTCCCTATCCAGTCTTGTCGACTGTTCCACAAATTTGAAGATATGGTTGAGTTTACTGTTGTTAATATCCTCCGTAGGGGTTTACCAATTATCCTCATTCTGAGCAGGGACAAAAGGATTTCGCGATTATTTTGGCCAAAATTCGCGATACCGCGAATTTTAACAGACTATACATTAAATTATACATAAAATTTGTCGCAAAAAATCGCGAAAAATCGCGATTCTGTACATGCCGCGATTTCGTTTTGTCCCTGATTCTGAGTGTCATGATCTGGATGCACTTGCAGAGGAGGTGCTGGGATGTTTCTGCTTCTCCTGAAAAGTGTTCACAATCTTGCGTCTCGAAGTTGAAATTGTTCGCCACGTTCTGAAAGTAAACTAGTGGGCTGCGACCTATCCTGACTGCGGCCATGTTAGCCATCTGATGTGAGTTCCAGAAAAATTAAAGTTCCTGCATTTATATTTGTGGAGGAACATCTCAAGTGTGATTTTCCTTTGTCTCTTTGTCACTGAGTGTGGCCTATACTAATTGGGAGGAATGGTTCTGGTCCTATGGGGATGTTGTTGGATTGATCGTCCCTTACGAATTCGTCCGATAGTTCTTTACCGTATACTCCTTCATGTCCTGGAACATCTTAGTTCTACTCTATGTGAATACCTAGTGAGTTGAGTTGGTCTGAGATGTTTTGAACGAACCTGGAGTTAAAACTGGTGCTGTTAAGCGCTTTAAATGCAGCCTTGGGATCTGAGAGGAATTAATGAATGATGGGGATCCTAAGTTATCATTAGTCCAGATACTTGCCATCATGTGTAACGCAAATAGCGGGTACGATTTCCTCAATGAACCTGAAGGAGGATTGTCTGTCCTGTATTGTTACCATGTAACGTCGAGCTAAAAAATTGAATCCAAAGTTTGAGTAATGCATTCGTTAAAAATTGTATGTCCTATTTGCATCCCCGAAGTATTGCATTGTTGTTTATTCCTGGTCCGGTTATGTGATGGCCTCAAGATGAGCCCTTAGCTGTCTAGCTGAGAAGACCTGAAAAGTGGTTACTGGAAGAAGAAGTGCCAGGAATTCTCGCTATCAGTGTGTCCTTTTAGTGACTTCCTGGTTCCTATGGGAACTTTGAGTTGGCAAGTCCCAACCTTTGTACTCGACAAGAGAGCACACCACCCATTAGTGCCAACCAGGCCACACCACGTGGAGGTTCGGAGAGGATTTCGTGACCCGCCAACTGGTGTGATCGTGACATCGACAACAATCCGGCTCAAAGAGGTGTGAAACAATAAACAATCATGAGACAACGTCAACTAGTATGATCCAATTATTTATATTTTTTATTTGAACATTCAAGGCCAATGCTTCTGCCAACAGAAATCAAATTTAAGAGTAAAAACTAGCTGCGCACGTGTGAAGTGAACGGGTCTTAACCGTGACAGCCACAACAATCCGCGTACAATGTGGCTCAAAGAGGTGTGAAACAATAAACAATCACGAGACAAAGTCAACTAGTATGATCCAAATATTTATATGTTTTATTTGAACATTCTTTGACAATGCTGTGTACAATCATAAATAATTTTAAAATTACTGCGGAGCCGCGGCTTAAGAGAGATAGACATCAGACTCGAGAATGCTGGGCGTTCCCACGGCCGCATTTTTACCGAATTTTCCGCCCATTTCTGGGTGAATTTACCAGCCCTAAAAATTAAAACTTGAAGTAGTAAATTGGCGAATTATTCGCGTATTTTTTGAAAACTCTAAATGCGCCGTATTTTTTGACGAAAATTTGGCGAATTTAACACCCTTGTTCTTTGCAATATTGCATATATTGCTTTATATTAACTGATAAATTCTAGGCTTTTGTCAACAGCTTCCTGTTGACAAGCGTTATTGTATCAATAATTGGTAGAACCACAGTAGACCTGCTCTTGTCTATACAGCTCTTTTGTGGCCATTGTCTGGTGCTGATACAAAAGATCTGCTGTTAGAAATCTTTTAGACTTCATCCTATGACCTATCTCTTAATTGAAACAAAAGATTCTAAATATTTGTTTAACTAAGGTATGAATGGGAGAGGAATATAAAACATTAATTTGATCATAAAGTTGGAGGGGGCCGGGGGGCCTTCCCCGCTAGCTAAGAGGGCCAGGGGGCTTTCTCTGCTAGGGACTAGGGTGTAACTTTAAATTGTTATCCTAAGATACCTTCGTTTGCAAAAAGTTGTCCACCAGCTGCTAAGGCCCTTTGATATATTATGTAGATTACAACGATCTACCAAACTTATAGCAGATCTGTAGAATCTCAATCCGAGCAGATCTGTTCAATACATTCAGAACAGTTTTATTTAGGGATAACATCATTTATTGTTTCCTATTTATAGGACATGATAAATATTCCACCACACTTTATAAACATTCCACCACAGTTAATAAACATTCCATCACAGTTTATAAACATTCCACCACAGTTTATAAACATTCCACCACAGTTTATAAACATTCCACCACAGTTATAAACATTCCACCACAGTTTATAAACATTCCACCACAGTTTATAAACATTCCATCACAGTTTATAAACATTCCACCACAGTTTATAAACATTCCACCACACTTTATAAACATTCCACCACAGTTAATAAACATTCCATCACAGTTTATAAACATTCCAATACAGTTTATAAACATTCCACCACAGTTTATAAACATTCCACCACAGTTATAAACATTCCACCACAGTTTATAAACATTCCACTATGGTTAACACGTTTATTTTCAGAGAACTGGCGCTACAGATAGTGCCACGATTAGCAGCATTACAACCAACACTAGTAAACGCTATTAACACTGATAACTTGGATGTAGTGAATAGCATAACGAGGATAGTTACAGGTAACTTTATACTGATAAGAACTGATCTTTCTTAGGGGTATTTATTAAATACTTTTCTAATTTTACAGAGTACAGCAATAAATGAATATAAAATAGAATCGTTCAAAATATCGCCCCCATCTGTAAAATATGATGGGCACCCAAACACGGTAAACACATAGTGAACTATGCCCGCAATTACTTATTGGACCCAACAAATTATACCAGAACTAATTGAGTTGGTAAAATAGCAAACTTATTATAATATCGTTATTCGATTAATAGATTGAATACGATGAGATAGGATTATCCACATTCCAAAATTATGTACAAACAATATAAATAATAAAACAAGTGCTTCTTTTCCTATGCTCGTTTTGATATTCAAATCATCTAAGTCATCACAAAAGAAAATTATGCAACCTCATTAGTTCAAGGCGTTTGTTATTCCACTGAAATGCCCTTAAACAGTTAAAACGGTGATTCGTGCTGGTAATTTCCTAGTTTTGTCTGTTTTCCTTAACTTTCTAACAATTCATACGTCCGGTCGTGAGTTTACTGGGGTTATTTGGAAAAGGAAGTTTTTAAATTATCGGGGTTTTCAATATACAGTAAATAATTAAATAGATGAAAATGATAATTTTCGGGATATTTGAGAAACAGCCGATATATAAATATATCGGGGGCGGGTCTGTTAAATGTTAATATATGGATAGGTAAAATTGTTCAAAATGCTAGTTAATTGGGTCGATTAGTCGTATAGTTCGAAATAACATCCATCATAACATACACTTTCCCGCAACAGTTATCTGATTCACTAAATTAAACTTTCTACACAGAAGCTGGTGAGTCCCTCATTTCCCCCCTCACGAAAACACCTGGTAAAGACCTTGGTGATTTAAGTGTGGTGTCTACTATCCTGGCAGCTATACAGTTCCCTGATTATAGTGTATGTTATTTAATATAATATATTAACCTAATATTCAGATACCAAATGGAAGCTTTTTATCGAGTAATATCTTTTAAATGCCACCATTAAGCTTCCTTCTTTAATTTAGTAAATGCTGAATACAATCTCCCAATATTTTAAAAATCATCTGCTGAAACTTACTTATTATTTCTGATGTTATTACAACGTTTGCTTGACAGGTTGCAGAGAGTTCGTTTAGTTTTTGGTTCCAACTAGCTGAAAATATCTACCGTGCTCCTGATATGGAGATCGTGGAAACTTACAAACCTGTCTTTATACAGCTCCTCAATACTTTGGTAGTTACTTGTTATTACATATATAATGTATATATTATTATATGGTACTTATTAGTTATTATAACTACTTTATCGTGGTTCCGATTAATTTTCATCGAGTAGATCATGCGGGTCATTAATTACACATGTGCACCAATTCCTTGTAAAGTTATAATATCCATTCCTTTAGGTTAAACTATGTGAACTTTACGACGAGTTTGAGGAGTCTTCTTTTGATGACGAGGACTTTCTGGATTTTAGAGATAAATGTAGTGATCTTTTCAAGGACATTGTTTACATTGTCGGTTAGTTTCCTAAGATACCATGACCATGCTTACTTATTTAAATGTTTGCCCCTTCACCTTCCCACAAAGTTTTTTACCTGGTAGAAATTTAGACGCTAAACGTTTAAATGTTACATTTGATTAGACAGTCGCAGTCAGGAAATGTGTTGTATCTAATGTGAGTATGTGCAGCTCTTAAAATGAAAATATTCTTCTGGGTGACAAGGGAGTAATTATTCCAAAATGGCTTTAAATATAATTTAATACAAATTGGGGGCTAGGTGCGATGAAATTGGAAAAATTCAGGATTAAGTGCCCGAATAAATAGAGAAAATGACCACCTTAAAACTGATAAAGAAGTTAAAACCACGTCTCAAAACCACATATTATCGTAACTTCTTATCGTAACTACTGAAATTTATCGGGCAATGGTTCTCCAAATTAGGCCAAATCTAGATCAAGCCACCCCTGCAGATTTCGTCGATTTCAGGTGCCGACAGGACCTTCAAAATTAAAAGCAAACTTAAATTTTTCCCCTAAAATCGAGCGCTTTCTGCGCAAAAAATTGACTTCAACAGAAAAAATTAAACATGGCTTCAAATCCAAATTTGAACCAGAGATTTTTCACTTCCTCTCGGTAAACTCAATTTTCAACCCAAAATAAAGTCTCAAAGGGGGAAATTACTCAGGTCAGGATTGTAGGCAATGATTATGCCAAACCATACATTTTTGTAAATTCATTAAACTTTCAATTTAGCCTAAAACAACCTATTTCGCAAAATTTTTCCGGGGGGCTGCGCCCCCCTAGCCCCCGCCAATTGGGTTCGCCCCTGGACCCTGCTGAGGGCTGCGCCCCCAGACCCCTACCACAGCTTGCAGCTTCGCTCGCCGACAGCCCCCCAAAGAAAAATCCTGGCTACGTGCCTGAGCAAATTATAGGTTTAGGGCTTTTCAGATGATTTGGCTCCTCAACAGATCCCGACGTACATAACGGTCAATATAATGTAGTTTAGGTTTACCTGGCCCGTTGGTTACGAATGTGCCCGAGGAGAAAAAAAAGCAAACTTAAGAAGATTTCTCGGGAACATAAAAGTTCACCTCAAAACGAAATCTGCACCTATGGATCAAGCTACTATGGGAAGATGACGAATCAAAACCAATTTAAAAACTGCTTGATCAGATACGACAGTTGCGCCCAATCAATCTTGAAATCCTATTCTGTTTGTGATTTAACCAATATACTTTGCTTTATTAATTTTAACCTTTAATTGATGGAAATCGCTCGACAGTTCCGCTTAAAAACCGGAAACGTATCACTTAAATGGTAATCTGTGCGATCTTAATTGCGAACTCCCTGTGACCACGGGTTTTCTTGTCTTACTTATAAAATATAATTATTTCTGTAGAATGTCTGTCTGTACGACCGCCCACGTGCAAATTAGGTAAACAAATAGAAGTTGTATAACAACCATAGTAACGGTGTTGAACGTGCACGTGCAAAGATTGGCGAGCGACGTTTTGATCGGTTTTGTGGTAATTACGTTGTGTTCAGTGCGAACTACATTTAAATCGGCTGTATCTTCGGTGGGGATGAATACTTTTTGATGCGATTAAAACTGACTGCTAAAGAATACTATTAGCTTCCTCCCTGTGACCACGGGCTTTCTAGTCTATATTATAATTCGAAGAATTATTTCTGTAGAATGTCTGTCTGTCTGTACGACCGTCCACGTGTACTGACGGAAAGTTGTCGTACAGAACATAGAAGCATAATAGAACAATGTTATTCTACAAAACGCAGGTAAAGAGGAATGCGATCTTAATTGCCTTCATTGTGCAGATATTTCTTTCTATAGAACTCAAAGTGACGGAAACCCAAAACTAATTAACAAAATCGCACACAAAAAAATATAAATTTATATTTTAAACTAAGAATAAAATTATAGTAATGCATTTACGCTCCATGATACGCAACTCTTAGCAAGTTGCTTGCGATTCTTTAAGTTCACGTGATATCGCTCAATGGGGAAATCCCTAAACTAATTTCCGGGTTTTGTGTCCGATTTAAATAAAATAAAAAATTACCAATGATCGATGCACTATGACTCTCAAGCCATAAATGTTAAAACGGTTATGCCATCCGTTCCCACGACAAATAATTGCTCCGTTTTCCGTATCATACTCTTGTCGTATCGTATAGAGCGGTAAAACCTGCGGTAGCCGGCAAATTTATATTATGATAGGCAACTAACTTTGTACTAAAGCCAGTTTAATAAAGAATTTCAAATACACAAAATCATACTCGTTGTAGTTGAGTGAATCGATTGTAAAATGTTTGTACATACCTGGAGCACAGTGTATGCATCCTTCAAACGAATTTAAAATATAAAATTTCCATCACGCAGACCGCAGACGTGAAATAAAACGAAATAAAATGAGAATAGCTTTAAAGTAAAACACACTTTATCCTTATGATCCGAGATACTAGGACAGTGCCAGAAAAACAGTATGGAAGAAAACTTACGATATAAACAAATTTGGATACTGGCTTCCTGGGTGACCGACAACTGAACCCAATTGAGCCTAGTTCCCACGCTGTTAACAGAAAAATTTGGCGGCCAAATCCACAGTTGGGTAGATACTGAGCTGATAATCATAGAGAATGTGTAGTATAGGCTTACCTTCCATATAAAGTTGGTTTCATTCAAAAATATTGATATTTGACCAATTTATGGGCCAAAATCGACCAAATTTGGTGCGTATGCCCAAATATGGGCATATGGTTTTTGGCTCATAACTCAGTAATTTTTTTTTCAATCTTGATGAAAATTCATATAGGAGTTCAAGGGACCACTAGCTACAAGGAGAGCACCTAAAATCTGGGTTTTAGGCATGTTCAGGGTATTTGGCTAAATTGTGCAGTGCCTAATTTGGACCAAATATGGGCGTGGCTGCCCCGCGGGCACCGTTTGGCGGTTGGGGTCCGGAACCCCCTCAAAAGTTCGGTCACCGGTCTTAGTTTGTTGGTCAACTGCTATCTCGAAACCAAGTTTCACAAAAAAATGAGGGTGAACCCCCCCCCCCCCCCCCCTAAATTGGGTGACATTCTACGGTGTAGCATGTCCCTCCGTTCCACTCGTTTTAGAGCTAACTGTTTTACTGCGTCTCTGCTGATGTTATCGACACCTGTCAGCCGCATCCTCGAGTACGTAGGCCATCCAGCCTTTACGGGGTCGTACTCTCAGTCTCTTTCCATAGTTACTGGCACTGGTTTCCATAGTTACTGGCTATTGCACTGGTTTAAACTTTGGCACATTGTATGCACCGACACAGCTGCAGGTCCAATTAACTTAATAACTACGATCCAATTTCGTGGCACTGTTTTGAACAAGATTTTAACTCTTCAATCAGAAATGTGTGTCAGCAGGTACCCTGAGCTGTGTACTCAATCAGTATGTTCTCCTAATTACATGACTTTGAGCCAAGCCATATCTGTCTATATTAGGACGCAATGAAACTACCGGACCACGATGTATGGGGACTTGCCACCCCATGGCAACATTAAAAATATCGACTCTGTTACTTCGTTTCCTCAAATTATTTGTTATATAGTAGTGTTGAAAGTATATAATATTAAAATATGTTCTCTTAATTACATGACTTTGAGCCCAGCCATCTGGAAAGCATGAATATTTCAATTATTTGACAGATCTCAATACTATAATTTCACATTAAACTTGAACAAGCTTGTTAAATTTGTTACCCCTATAATAATCGTGGACAAATGTGATTGCTCCTGTTTAGACTCAGTCAGAAAGTATCACTTTGTAGATATAATAAGTTTGCAAGCAAATGAAACAAACCCAATATAATAGCTTAACAAGTAAGGTGCTATGTGTAAACTGTTCGTTTAAGAGAATAACATAAACCTGACTAAGTATTAACCCATTAACTAAAGCCTACTGACTTGCTGACAAAACCACACTACATAGTAATTTAGTAATTTATGCGTCTCACTGAACGCGTACGTGAATCACAAGTCGCATATTATCCTCATATCCTGACAAAGAGTAAAGTAAAAGCGAGAATAACGCAGTTATCTGTTTACTGTAAAGAACGCGTCTTTTAATTGTTCACAAATGCCACCTTGCTAGCAATTTCCTGGATATGTCCGAAAAATTTACGCGTTGATTATATTGAGATAATATCTGATGTCAGACTTAATCAGTCTTTATTTCTACTGTTTTATAAGGAAATGTTCAGATTTTAGACTTTTGATTTAAATACTGTAAATATTTTCATTCTTGGTTCTCATGAGTGATCATGGTTGATTCCTGGGGACGGAATGAGATTTTCCAATCACTGTAAAATGAATCCTTTAAATTTATATTCCTTTAGCTTTGCAGTGAGTGTAGACTCTCATTTCGTCCTCAGTTATCATTTTTGATTTAAATGCCTAGAAAGCTAGAATACAATTTTAGATTAAAAATTAGCATTATGAGACAATACATTTTCTCCTAATACCAATTTGTAAAATCAAAAGATATGTAATTATATCTTATAATTTCACGACCATAACCAATTATAGTCTGATAATCACTTCTCACCTAACCTTTAATTAATAATCACCTCTTATTAGTAATTACCTCTGATTATTAATTACATCTAATTAGTAATTACATCAGACTATTAATTACCTCTAATAACCAATTACTCATAATTAGTAATTACCTCTAATTACTAATTACCCCTAATTAGTAAAAACCCCTCTCAGGAATACGACCAGTGTTAGAACTACTGTTAGCGGGAGTAGAGCAGACTCCACCAGACCAGTGGCAGAGGCTGGAGTCCATGCTCTTCTGCAGCAGCTGCGTCATAAAGATACTGAGCCGTGCTGACTCGGACATAGTCATGAGGTGAGGCCACGTGAGCTACCAGTTTACAGCTGTTAACCAATTAGCAGCTATCAGTTTACAGCTATTAACCAATCAGCAGCTACCAGTTTACAGCTATTAACCAATCAGCAGCTACCAGTTTACAGCTATTAACCAATCAGCAGCTACCAGTTTACAGCTATTAACCAATTAGAAACTACCATTTTACAGCTATTAACCAATTAGCAGCTACCAGTTCACAGCTATTAACCAATCAGCAGCTACCAGTTTACAGCTATTAACCAATCAGCAGCTACCAGTTCAAATCGTTGTCACGTGTAAAAAACCCGCCAATTTCGCACAGTTTTCTCAACAATGATATCGTCAATATTCGATTGTTGATGAAGTCGGTAATATTCAAATATCCAACGTTTAATCTTATATTTTAGTTCGTCAGATTTTCTTGTTAACTAATTGCTCATTAAATCAATTATCCCATTAACAAATAACCCCAGATACCTGAAGGCAGCACTAGGAATACCGACTACTGCTAACCAGAACTTGAGAGTAATGAGTGTAAAAGTGTTGGGGGAGTGTGCAGAGTGGGTCACTATTGAGCAACAAGTGTTAAACCACGTGCTTCAGAAACTATTACAAGGTTTCACTTTCACTTCCTCATTCAATCCCAATTATTGTTAGATCGAATCCTTCCAATTTCCACGAAGTATAACACAACGCTGGATTATTCAAGAATATTGTAGTTGGGGTATAATATCTGGGAATTAGCTTGAATTCAGTACCAATCTGTAAAGCTACCACGTGAAGCTAGATTGCTACCACGTGAAAAGATAGATCAAACTATTTCTTTATTCACAGTCACTATCCCCTTCAGAACTACGAGACAAGAAGCTAGCATCACACTGTATCAAAACATTAGAGAAGTTGTGCCAGATGGGGGGCGAAGTGTTGCAGTCCCACCTTGAACTGCTGATACAGATTATAGAGCAGGCAGAGGAGGTGCCTCACAGTACCTTTACTGCTTTTATTGAGTGTGTTGCAGGTAATTAGTGGGTAATTAGAGGGTGATTAGTGGGTAATTAGAGGGTGATTAGTGGGTAATTAGTGGGTAATTAGTGAAGTGTTGCAGTCCCACCTTGAACTGCTGATACAGATTATAGAGCAGGCAGAGGAGGTACCTCACAGTACCTTCACTGCGTTTATTGAGTGTGTTGCAGGTAATTAGAGGGTAATTAGTGGGTAATTAGAGGGTGATTAGTGGGTAATTAGAGGGTAATTAGTGGGTAATTAGTGAAGTGTTGCAGTCCCACCTTGAACTGCTGATACAGATTATAGAGCAGGCAGAGGAGGTACCTCACAGTACCTTTACTGCTTTTATTGAGTGTGTTGCAGGTAATTAGTGGGTAATTAGAGGGTGATTAGTGGGTAATTAGAGGGTGATTAGTGGGTAATTAGTGGGTAATTAGTGAAGTGTTGCAGTCCCACCTTGAACTGCTGATACAGATTATAGAGCAGGCAGAGGAGGTACCTCACAGTACCTTCACTGCGTTTATTGAGTGTGTTGCAGGTAATTAGAGGGTAATTAGTGGGTAATTAGAGGGTGATAAGTGGGTAATTAGAGGGTAATTAGTGGGTAATTAGTGAAGTGTTGCAGTCCCACCTTGAACTGCTGATACAGATTATAGAGCAGGCAGAGAAGGTACCTCACAGTACCTTTACTGCTTTTATTGAGTGTGTTGCAGGTAATTAGTGGGTAATTAGAGGGTGATTAGTGGGTAATTAGTGGGTAATTAGAGGGTTATTATATCATTATCTATCTTAAACATGATTTTTATTTTGTAAGATGATTGTTTTGAAACCGTTAATGTTGGCTTTATGGCTATTGTATTATGGTATGAACCAAAATTTATTAGGTATTTAACTTCTTTTTACCTGACCCATGAAACACTGCAGGTATATGTTCCTACCAGCCACTAGCCCTACAGTCTCCCCATCTCATGAGGATAGCTAACCGATCTCTTCTGAGTCTCGCTAAGAATCCTGCAGATCCTGTTAAAGATGTGAGTTTATAACTTAAATAACCAACTTATATTACCTGTTTATTACTTTCAGACCAGACATTAACATTCTTCAGTAGGTTTAGTTGTCTGATCATGTTTCCCACTTATAAAATTTTAGAATTTTAGAAATATCTCTCCTTTGGTCTTTAAACGATAATAGAGTAAGCTTGTAGTGCTCCTCTATGTCCCCTCCCCCAGCCCCCCCTCCCCATCTATACCTCCTGAGTCCTGACTGAAACCCCCTTCTAAACTTCCTGACTGAAACCCCTTTCTAAACTTCCTGACTGAAACCCCCCTCTACACTTCCTGACTGAACCCCCCCCCCCTCTACATTCCTGACTGAACCCCCCCCCTCTATACCTCCTGACTGGAACCCCCCCCCCCTCTACACTTCCTGACTGAACCCCCCCCCTCTACACTTCCTGACTGGAACCCCCCCCCCCCCCCCCCCTCTTCACTTCCTGACTGAACCCCCCCCCCCGCCCCCTCTACACTTCCTGACTGAAACCCCCCCCCCCCTCTATACCTCCTGACTGGAACCCCCCCCCTCTACACTTCCTGACTGAACCCCCCCCCTCTATACCTCCTGACTGGAACCCCCCACCCCCTCTACACTTCCTGACTGAACCCCCCCCCCCCGCCCCCTCTACACTTCCTGACTGAAACCCCCCCCCCCTCTATACCTCCTGACTGAACCCGCCCCCTCTACACTTCCTGACTGGAACCCCCCCCCCCCCCTCTATACCTCCTGACTGGAACCCCCCCCCCCCTCTACACTTCCTGACTGAACCCCCCCTCCACAGATAGACAACATCAGCTCCATATTCCGCGGATATAAAGGAGAAGTAGCTCCAACTGATGAGAGTCCTTTACAAGCTGTGTTTGTAGCAACTTGGCCCCATCTCAGCGTCGCACTTCTCTCCTGTGCTAACTCTGTTAACAATATTGAGCGTGTGTGTCGCTGCATCAGGTTAGTTCTTCTGGGTTGCGGAATGAGATATACTGTTTAAATTCTAGAACTTGTATAATGAAACGTTATTTTTAAACTTTTAAAGCTCTGAACACTGTTTTCTTGCTGGAGGAAAATTGCAATGCCAAAAACACCTAATGTTCCCAAATTTTAACGTTTTTACATGGTCTTATCAGTTCCAGGTTTATCAATAAACCGTCCCTTAAATGTGTATCGATTTGTAAAGCATTATATTACAAGAGAAGAAACCATTACTTACTTTTCGTAACAAGATAGCTCATAGCAATATACCGTACAGTCAAATTCAATATTATCTGATAATTAAGTTAACAATTAAAATCATATAAATCGTAAATCTATTAATCCTAGAGCGTTATAAAATGACAGACAACTATAATATTATGCAGTGAGAATGATCAGTAAATACAGTAAATTCAATTATTGATCAATCTCTAGGTACGGTTTGCGGAGTGTCGGAAAGAAGACTCCCCAGATTCTAGAACCACTAGCTGAAAAACTAATACAACTGTATAATATAAAACCTCACAGTTGTGTGCTCTATCTCTCAAGGTAAGTTTAATTAAATAATTAAACTCTAAAGTAGAATAACTAAACAGTTTTGTGTGGTGTATTTTTCGTGCGTTTTATTTTTAAATTTGTATTTTTGTTAGATAGTGAACATTTTAAAACATTTGTCTGATAAAATAGTAATATTAGTTCCACTAAATGAATATTAATTAATTAATTAATTAATTAATTAATTAATTAATTAATTAATCAGTGTGATAGTTGACGAGTTTAGTTCTGATGTCAGACTGGAGGAAGGACTGTTAGGACTTTTCAGTAAGTCTTTGATAAATCTTTAATTAAGGGGTTAATATGAACCTTCCACTGGTTTAAGGATTATCAACCTCATTAAACTGATTGATGTTGAATATGTTAATTGTTAAATTGCATTGTATGTTGAATATGTTGAATATGTTTAATTGCATTGTATGCTGTTAATTCATCAATTTTACGTGTTCAGGTGCAATGGGCCCGAAGACGTTTGAGATATTATCAGCACCACATGGTTTAGAAAGAAACCCAGATACAGTAGACGACTTCTACAGGCTCTGTAGCCGATACATTCAACATGTTGGTTCTAGGTTAGTCATCTTCATTTCCTCTTAATTTATTTTTCCATGCTTTTGAGTGAATGCTTCTTATTTTTTACTCATCACAAAATGATGACAATGATAATTTCAGAAATATTAATTAGTTTATCCTAATCCTCACTATGTCCCCAGAGTGGTGAGCAGTCCAATAATGATACACTTGGTTGACATAGCCACCAACTGTTTATCACTTCAACACAAGGACGCACAATGTTCCGCTATCAAGTTTATGGACACACTCATGCAGCGAGCTAACAATGAGAAATGTCCTCATTCTCTCGGTCAAATCAAGAGAAAGGGACAAGATATGGTAAGGAAAACCAGCAACTGTATCATCTTACTTTCAACTGATTAACCTATCGATCAACTAACTCAATAGCCCCCCCCCCCCCCCCCCCCCCCACCCCCCCCCCCCCCAGCCCCCCCCCCCCCCCCCCCCCCCCCCCCCCCCCTCTTAAATGTGAATCTATGTGTTCACTTTAACCATTACCCGCAGGTTAATAGTATAGTTCTATGTGTTCACTTTAACCATAACCCGCAGGTTAACAGTATAGTTCTGGGTGTTCACTTTAACCATTACCCGCAGGTTAACAGTATAGTTCTGGGTGTTCACTCTAACCATTACCCGCAGGTTAACAGTATAGTTCTGGGTGTTCACTCTAACCATTACCCGCAGGTTAACAGTATAGTTCTGGGTGTTCACTCTAACCATTACCCGCAGGTTAACAGTATAGTTCTGGGTGTTCACTTTAACCATTACCCGCAGGTTAACAGTATAGTTCTGGGTGTTCACTCTAACCATTACCCGCAGGTTAACAGTATAGTTCTGGGTGTTCACTTTAACCATTACCCGCAGGTTAACAGTATAGTTCTAGGTGTTCACTTTAACCATTACCCGCAGGTTAACAGTATAGTTCTGGGTGTTCACTTTAACCATTACCCGCAGGTTAACAGTATAGTTCTGGGTGTTCACTTTAACCATTACCCGCAGGTTAACAGTATAGTTCTGGGTGTTCACTTTAACCATAACCCGCAGGTTAACAGTATAGTTCTGGGTGTTCACTTTAACCATTACCCGCAGGTTAACAGTATAGTTCTGGGTGTTCACTTTAACCATAACCCGCAGGTTAACAGTATAGTTCTGGGTGTTCACTTTACCATTACCCGCAGGTTAACAGTATAGTTCTGGGTGTTCACTTTAACCATTACCCGCAGGTAAACAGTATAGTTCTGGGTGTTCACTTTAACCATTACCCGCAGGTTAACAGTATAGTTCTGGGTGTTCACTTTAACCATTACCCGCAGGTAAACAGTATAGTTCTGGGTGTTCACTTTAACCATTACCCGCAGGTTAACAGTATAGTTCTGGGTGTTCACTTTAACCATTACCCGCAGGTTAACAGTATAGTTCTGGGTGTTCACTTTAACCATAACCCGCAGGTTAACAGTATAGTTCTAGGTGTTCACTTTAACCATTACCCGCAGGTTAACAGTATAGTTCTGGGTGTTCACTTTAACCATTACCCGCAGGTTAACAGTATAGTTCTGGGTGTTCACTTTAACCATTACCCGCAGGTTAACAGTATAGTTCTGGGTGTTCACTTTAACCATTACCCGCAGGTTAACAGTATAGTTCTGGGTGTTCACTTTAACCATTACCCGCAGGTTAACAGTATAGTTCTGGGTGTTCACTTTGACCATTACCCGCAGGTTAACAGTATAGTTCTGGGTGTTCACTTTAACCATTACCCGCAGGTTAACAGTATAGTTCTGGGTGTTCACTTTAACCATTACCCGCAGGTTAACAGTATAGTTCTGGGTGTTCACTTTGACCATTACCCGCAGGTTAACAGTATAGTTCTGGGTGTTCACTTTAACCATTACCCGCAGGTTAACAGTATAGTTCTGGGTGTTCACTTTAACCATTACCCGCAGGTTAACAGTATAGTTCTGGGTGTTCACTTTAACCATTACCCGCAGGTTAACAGTATAGTTCTGGGTGTTCACTTTAACCATTACCCGCAGGTTAACAGTATAGTTCTGGGTGTTCACTTTAACCATTACCCGCAGGTTAACAGTATAGTTCTGGGTGTTCACTTTAACCATTACCCGCAGGTTAACAGTATAGTTCTGGGTGTTCACTTTAACCATTACCCGCAGGTTAACAGTATAGTTCTGGGTGTTCACTTTAACCATTACCCGCAGGTTAACAGTATAGTTCTGGGTGTTCACTTTAACCATTACCCGCAGGTTAACAGTATAGTTCTGGGTGTTCACTTTAACCATTACCCGCAGGTTAACAGTATAGTTCTGGGTGTTCACTTTAACCATTACCCGCAGGTTAACAGTATAGTTCTAGGTGTTCACTTTAACCATTACCCGCAGGTTAACAGTATAGTTCTGGGTGTTCACTTTAACCATTACCTGCAGGTTAACAGTATAGTTCTGGGTGTTCACTTTAACCATTACCCGCAGGTTAACAGTATAGTTCTAGGTGTGTCAGGAGGTTTGCCACCCTCTCTCCTCACTGACCTCTGTATTCTCCTGCACGACCTATTAGCTGCACTTGGAGAGGAGGCGCGCGCTTGGCTCCGTCTCGCTCTCGGCACCATACCACTCGGTTAGTACTAGAACAGCTACTTCTTTGAGGAAATTAGTTATCAAAACGATATGACAATCAGGACTATCTGTTGTTAGTGATAAATTGTAGAACTTGTATCTGTTATCCTGTTATAGAGATACTATAGATATCTGATAAATTGTAGTTTGTATCTTTTATCCTGTTATAGAGATACTATAAATAACAACACACAAAACAACTCCATCCCTCTAGGAGCCTACGTGACACAGAAGCAAGTTGAGGAACTGTACCACAACGTGACAGCATCGACTACATTACCACGTGACACAGTCCGATACTGTAAGGAGTTCAACCAGTGCTTCTCCTAGTGACGTCATAGTTACCGGTCCTTCCTTTAGTGACGTCATAGTTACCAGTCCTTCCTTTAGCTTTAGTGACGTCATAGTTACCAGTCCTTCCTTTAGCTTTAGTGACGTCATATCACCAGTCCTTCCTTTAGTGACGTCATAGTTACCAGTCCTTCCATTAGCTTTAGTGACGTCATATCATACGTGCCCTTACGTCAGCTGGTTCATTCAATTCACATTCAGCTAAAAGATACGCAATTACGTGACCCCCAACTACATGGTTTTGTTATCATGTTTCACATCATCAAAATATTTGCGCTTATGTGTCAATGTGTGGCTGGAGCAGACCTGTGTGAGCCGAAACTGCACAGGAAACTAACCTTCTAGTTAACCAGCTAAAGTTCACTGTATAATTGTTTCTGAGAAGGCTGATTCAGAAGTATCAAGATTTACATTGGTCAATTAATTAACTTGTTAGTTAATTGTAGATAATTTTAAGATCACAGTTTCACTTTAACCTCACTGTTGGTTTTGTATTATGTAAAAGTATAAATGTCACCACTGCGTTCCCCATTAATATAATAGATTGTTCTAAACTTGATTCTAGCATATTATTATCTGAAATGTGCTTTGCTTACGATGATAACTTTAATACAGCTGGCTATTTATAAGTGTTTGATCGCATTAGTTTTATTTAGTTAACTTGAGATTAACTTTATTACACTATTATAGCTAAATCAAATTGTGTATTCATCTTGCTGAAGCGTGCTAGCGTATAAATGTGAAGTTAAAAATTCTGCTACTTTCTGCGACGGATATTATTATTTTATACGATATACTGTATGCTGAACCTTGCAAATGTTTGTCGAGATTTAAGCAAAGACTTGTATTACCGTACACAATGGCTTAGCTTTATTGGTTTGGTATAGTTGTACTGTACTAGGTATGCGATCCTTGTGCAATCCTTGTTATACCGATATTTTTTATCGAATTAGTGAAATTTAAGTGAGAACTTAGTGAGATGAGTTTGGTGAGGTATGTTGAGTTTGGTATGTTGAGTTTGGTGAGATTGAACTAGTGAGATGAAAATCTATGAGTTGAGCGTGTTCTAGGGTTCAATTGAGAAGTACAACCCCGGCTTTACCCCTGATATTTTTGATTTTATACCTTAGAATTTACCTTCTTGACCTCGTGTTCAGGGACATCTATTTTTTGTTCCCAATTTGTTCCCGAATTTGTTGTTCCCAAATAGTAAAGCCTGGGTTATATGATAAATGTAATATTTAGAGTTTTAAAGCAATCATTTTTACACTGTTTGTTGTACAGGAGTTGTTTGGAAAAAACTTTTAGCACCGTGACAAAAATGAGTCTTTCGGGAAATCTTGGTATTTTGGCTAAGGCCTTCTGTTTTGCCTTTCCAGATAAAATGTCAGAGATACTTCTGCTATTTCACAACTTACTTGAAACGGGCAACAGCTAGAATATCTCTGCTATTTGATATTCTTACTTACTTGCAACGGGCAACAGCTAGAATATCTCTGCTATTTGATATTCTTACTTACTTGCAACGGGCAACAGCTAGAATATCTCTGCTATTTGATATTCTTACTTACTTGCAACGGGCAATAGCTAGAATATCTCTGCTATTTGATATTCTTTCTTTTTTGAAAAGGGCTTACGGGAGGTGGAAATAGCATTTCTGTACAAACTTCATGATGGAACTTTTAAAATTTGAGTTAAGATTTTGTTGAGTGTTATGCAATTTATAGTCAAGATTGCCTTGAAATTACGTGTACGAAAGCGAAAAGGCCTCGATTTTAAATACTTGATATTTTAAAATTTTAATGCCCCTTTTATGTTGTTACTCTTAGGTCACCTAAAACCAATACAGTAAAACTAAGAACTCCGGTTTACTTAGACTCAAAACCTAGCCCCAATTTCAGCAGGAATATGATGGTCCGAATGCTCAATCTAATTTTAATGTCACCATTTGATTACATAGTCACCAAACTTAAAATTCTGAAAGTGATTAAGTCCAGTTCCAATTCTTTAGAGTTACCTTCGCCGACGTTTAGTGTTTTACTGTGCAATTTTAATAGCAATTTTAATGGCAATTTTGGCTGAAATACCCGAGCTTTTGTACGAGAGAGCTACGAACTAATGATGATTTGAGTTTATTTTTATACAGAGTAAACACTGAGTAATTGTTTTTCAGAGTTGAGTTGTTGGATCTTATTTAACGTGCCCGTCCCGTTTCTCATTTACTAATTAATCTAATTTTTCAAAAATAAGTAGCTATCTGATGGATTCCATAGTTTGATTTAAAGAGACATATTTTCAATCCATAAGGATAGGCCTTCCAGTATTGTCATATTATGTATAAAACAATTTTGCTGATAAAATATTGTCAATAATCGGAATGTCAAACAATAAATTTACAGAAATTAAAAGAAATGTGGACAGGGCACAAACTGTAAATATGGAATTTTCTGACTTGAAGTTATTGATCTGTTTGTAATATTGAATGAGCTAATTATGGAACAAGATGGTCAGCTTATCTGAGTCGAATGAAATATTTATTTTCATCTGTTTTTCGGACGAAATTATGTTTTCACCTAATAAGTCCGGATTACAGATCGGTTCCATTTTGTTAGGTTAAAATTTCAGAGTTTTTACGAGAATTTCAATGTTGCGTGTTCGAACCGATGCCTGCTCGGCGAGTTACATTCTACCTTCACAGTTATTGATGAGGTCGGATACACTTTAGGTCTGAACAGAGTTAGGTTCAGACTTTAGGAAGCATCGGTTTGAGTGCAATTATGTGGAAGCGATATTCGTCGAACATCACCGAGTCAATTGTTAACAGAGTCCGAGTTGAGTATTCTCACTTGAGTTTAAAACATTTCCTTGTGTTTCACTTGTTTCCCCAATTGGTAGAAAATTGATTAACTGAATTAGTTTTCATCGGTTCATGCAGGACAGATATGGTAACCTCGTTTTGATATAAATGCACGCCAACGTGATAGGAAAATCTTTAAAATGATATTTATTATGCAATTTGAATAACAGCGATAACTTACATTTTATTCATATCCAGGAATGTCGTCATGTTTCCAAACGGTATTCTGCTGTTGGAAGTCTACATCTAACAGGTCTTGAATTTCAATTTCAAAATTGTTTGCTCACTTTATCGCACTGGAGTTTGTCCACATAATATACTAGTGTTGTTGTACTGGATTGTGACACAAACATTACTGTAGGCGCGAACGCCAACGCAATTTCTTGCGTTCAAAGGAAAATTAATTTCGCGCGCACGGCTGTTTTGACGTACGTGACGGCCGGCAGTGCTACCATGTAATATATAGCTAGTAGATTAAAGAGATAACTTATCAATGACGTCACAATGTTTTGACTCACAACATCACATCCGTTATCAGGTTATTCTATCAGAACAATAACGACTCAGATGAGCGAGGTATCGAATACGATCGGTTAATCGAACTCCCAGAAGTCGATGATCGATCTACAGGCCGTACCCCTGCACCAAAACTTGTTCTCAACGAACGTGAGAGACATCTGATATCTAATCGGCTGTACTCGGAGTACGCAGACGACCAAGAAAGATTTAATAGGCTGGCTGACGAGGAGGTTGGTTATATCATCATTCCTTTTCTGATTCATAGTTAAATTGTGTTATTTTTTTAATTTGCAATTTAAATTATTAATATATCTTTATAAATGATTGTGATGATCGTATGTATCATGTTTTCATTTCAGTTGTAACCAACTTTTTAACTTCAGTTACACAAGGACGAAGAGAGGTTGGCTATGCAGGAGGAGGAACTTTACGCTCAAAGGACGTCGAAGATTCGAGAATTTTACCAGAACCGTCCTCCTTCAACGGTGAGTTCGGTTGCAATTTTTTTAATAAGGGGTCGTTGATATATTATGTAATTACTGAAGGGGGTTTCTAAATTATTACACTTATGTAATTTTGACACAAATACAATGTGTAAAACTGATTACGGAGAATTAGAAGGAAGGGGGTTAAAAATATGCCGAAAAGTGCTTACGTAATAAAATATGAATGGTACCAAAGGGCCTTCAGCTTAATCATGCTTCATTCTTGCGATCAGGAGTTACAAGAATTACAGATTATGATTTTTATTCATTTTACAATCGTAAATAATCTTATTTATATTTATCATCTCCCAAATAATATTTTAATAATATAATCACATTTTTGAAAGGATTACCTAATCAGTTTTGCTAACTAGATTAACAAAATGCTTCATAACTTCTTCATTTTGACTGACTAATTCCTCGAATTAGTAGCAGTAGTATTAGTCTATGTAATAAGCGCCATGAGCTGGCACAGAATTTTTTGTCTCTGATTTTGATAAATTTGGTATCAAAAGTTGCCTCTAAGTGTGAATAATGAAAATTCACCGTGTAGCACGATAACGTCGGGCTGTATGTGGGCCTTTAGTGCATCGCAAGAGTGTACAAAGGACGAAATATAGGTAATTTATTGCTTAAAATGCCTATAACTCCTAAAATATTGAATTTTTTGAAATAATTCTTACAGGACCGTAATGAACTTAGTCAGACGCAACTTTTAGTACCAAAATTATAATTTTTGAAGCACCAAATTTTTCAAAATTTCACACGGGACCCTGTGTTCAGATTAAAAATTTTTGAAAATAATGTTCCTTTAAATCTTAAAATATTAGTACTAAAAGTTTTGTCTCGATGAGTTGATTACAATGCCATAATAATTATGTGATAATAACTGAAAATGTGAAAGTTATAGGCCAAAAACTAAAAATTTGCGCGAAAAAAGCACGCGCGGCAAACAAGCGCCGTGTAAAATTTTTAGCGAAAATTGCTACACGGTGGATTTATTTTATTCACATTTTTAGACAACTTTTGGTTCCAAATTTATCAAAATCGGAGAAAAAAAGTTCTGTGCTCGCGCTTGGCGCTTATTACACTGATTATATCACTAAAGTCAATAATGTTTTATTAGTCCAAACAAACTGAATTTAATGGCCAACCCTGTATTTTTAAACTTTGAGGTGTACGCCGCATCGAGTTCAAATTAGGAGTATGACTCAGCGAGGTCAAGGTACGAGTTGATCGCATCGAGTTCAAGGTAGGACTCATAGGAGTAAGACTCGGCGAGGTCAAGGTACGAGTTGGTCGCATCGAGTTCAAGGTAGGACTCATAGGAGTAAGACTCAGCGAGTTCAAGGTACGAGTTGGTCGCATCGAGGTCAAGGTACGAGTAAGACTCGGCGAGGTCAAGGTACGAGTTGGTCGCATCGAGTTCAAGGTAGGAGTAAGACTCCTCGAGTTCAAGGTAGGAGTAAGACTCCTCAAGTTCAAAGTAAGAGGTGGTCGAATCGAGTTCAAAATAGGAGTTGGTCGCATCGAGTTCAAAATAGGAGTTGGTCGCCTCGAGTTCAAGATAGGAGTAAGACGCCCCGGCCCCAAGTTCAAAGTGCTGAAGGTATTGACACGGCTTAAGATAGGAGTAAGACGCCCTGGCCCCAAGTTCAAAGTGCTGAAGGTATTGACACGGCTTAAGATAGGAGTAAGACGCCCCGGCCCCAAGTTCAAAGTGCTGAAGGTATTGACACGGCTTAAGATAGGAGTAAGACGCCCCGGCCCCAAGTTAAGAGTGCTGAAGGTATTGACACGGCTTAAGATAGGAGTAAGACGCCCCGGCCCCAAGTTCAAAGTGCTGAAGGTATTGACACGGCTTAAGTCTTGGTTGAGAGGATACTGACAGTGAATAATTCTTAATGCAAGATTAACAACATGTTTCCTCATCTCCTTTTTTCTTAAGAAATATAACAGAGGGTTTAAAGCACTATTCAGTGGTACAGCATAGAAAATCCCGAAGTTGAACGCAAAGTTATAATCCAATTTTTTCCCAGAATAAACAAAATAGAAATGCAGCACCATTGATACAAAGTAAAATGTATTGAGAAGACAGAAGATTGCTGATAAGATGGCCACAGTAACAGTTGCCTGGAAACTAGTTTCACGCGAATTTTCTGTAATATTTCTGTCTCGTAGAATGTTTCTGATGCTGATCAAATTAATTATGAGAACTGAAATAATCATCAGTCCCATTCCTCCGAGAATGAAGGCAGCATGGACTGTTGGGTGATATGACTTTGTATCTGTGAGCAGTATTAATCCAGAATGCTATTTCGCGAATCATGGTATACCCAACGAATAATATAGTTGAGATTTCGATGTAGATTCCTTTAATGTTATGAAACGGCAAACTGACACTCAGACATCTTGTTAAGCTTAGAAGGAAAGTTAGAAACCCAGTTCCCTCAACAAATATCATATACAGCGATTCTGTTACATCCCGAATAGTCGCCCAAATGGGCGTCTTATTGCCACTCAGTCTCATGATTTGAAGCACTACAGTTGTAATGGAAACACAAAGATCGAAGCAGTTTAGGACCATCAGTAACTTTGTACCTGAAAAACTACAAGTATTATCACAGGATGGTAGGTGTTAAACATCGATCGCAAAAATTAATAAAAAATTCTATTCAAAATGAAATTTAACTTTAGATATATTTTGAATCAAAATATATCTAAAGTTAAATTTATCGTTTATTTACCTTCAAAATTGGGAATAAACTCACCTAAAGTTTTGCGTCTTTTACTGCAAAAGAAAAAGATAGACATGACATTAAGAATTAAAGCACAGCCCGCTGTTAGTGCAATTCCACAGATTTGCCACATTTTGGTCACCCAATTTGTACACGGAATAAACACACACAAATGAGACTTCAATCAAATTATCTGCGTATTAAAAGACTTTTTAATCAGTAGTGACGAAATCATTTCGTAATATGCAAATTATTACACAATCCCTTATCTCGTCTCATTCCCATAAATGATTTCCTAATCACATTTGATTTCCGCTTCCTTAAATCATTTCCACCCACGTAATAATTATTATTACTGAAGTCCCGTCAATAGAGTGTGAATATTGCGAATTAATATATTTTATTGAAGTTTTGGTTTATCTTATGTATAAGGACCGGCACAATAATCGATTAAATTACAATTCTTATGACGTAATTCAACTCGTTAGGTCTTGAAGATATCATTCGTACACGTGCTCGCACTATTCTTTAGTACGGTACCATAGATTCCATCTTGGCCTGCTACCCAGTCTATTGGGATCGTTCATATATTACGTAATCAGCCGAGGGGGATGGGGGTTTCCAAATGATTACGCTAGTGTAATTTTGACACAATAGCTATGTGTAAAACTGATTACAGAGGGGTAATTGTCCAAAAATTGATTACGTAATATGTGAACGACCTCATTGTAAGATTATAAACACATCCAACACGCGAACTCGCAAATCCATGAAATTGATACAATCCCCCTATCCCGAACACTATTTTATCCTAAAATTCTTCATCCATTAACCAATATATTTTCAGAGTCTGGGAGAGACGCAGAATTTCGCAGATTTTTCACAAAGGTTTAACGAACACCAAACACCCGAAAATGAACAACCTGTGTATGATTCCGTTCCTACAGTGTCCTATTCTGTCCCTATCGTGCCCAATTCTGTCCCTACAGTGTCCGATAATAATCTTGTGTCTGATGATGCCCTTGTGAAAGATGATTATTGTGTAAATGTTGTGACTGAAGTTCCTGATTCAATTACTTTTTTACAAAACGTAGATCACGTGACTGCACCTGTTATATCAGAGGAGGTCCTGTCAGTCCAACAGTCAGATAAACTGTTACAGGACATTGATGATATCCTACTTGATAAAATGTCAGAATCTTCCGATATCTCCCAATTTTATCCTGAACACTTCAGTGATCCGGATCCGGATGCTCTGTCCGACATATCACCGGATATTCCGGATAGTAACTTGGATATATCTGATAATACAGCTGATTATTTTCTAACGAGCGATATTCTGGATGATTCTCCTGGTAATTTCGTTGAAGTCCCTCCGCTAGGTACAAATAAGGTTGTTACTTTTGAAACTGAAGAATTAGAACAAGTCAGTACTTTCGATCCGTTCCTGCAATTCACTAAAAAATCAAGCGACAATTCAAGCGAGGAATCTTTCGTTAAAATTGAATAGATTTAATTAATATTAAAGTAAGTATATTGACCAGGCTTGAAAATTGCTTTTAACTTCAAATATGACAATTATTTTAATTCCATGTGAGTGTGATACATTTTTATGGCCTGTGAGTGTGATAATAATGTTTTCGACGATGGGGGTTTTGGCTAGTTTATAGTTCTAGTCTGGATAGTATTAGTATAACAAGATTATTGCTTAATTTTGCTGTTTACTATTAGTTTTACTTTAGTACTTTGATAGGTGTGCGTCATGATAGCTTTTGAGTAGTATTTTAAAATTAATGAATTAAATCTGAATCGAAATCTTAAAATGTAAAACTATTTCATTTAAAATATGTTATGAGATTTTCACAGATCATGTAAGGAACCCAATGGCTGACAAGTTTTTATTTCTAGCAAGGTAGGGGAAGTTTGCGATGCTAAAGATTTCAGTTAATTAAATAGTGTCGAAATAGTTTATGGATCGTTCGCATTTTACTTAAGCCATTTTTAGGACATCTCAGACTCCCTTACACAAGTTATACATATCCATTGCATTAAAGCTTTATTTAAACCCCTCTCGTTTCATGTGAACGATCCAATGTGTTAATGAACCCAATTTCTAATATTCAAAATATGTTCAATTTAATGTCCTGAAATTACTTGTGCATACTTTACATTTTTTTTATAGGTTCCTGTAATATGAGATCTAGTTGAATGTTTATGTTTCGGGTTGATCAATGTTTAATTATCAGATATGTTTTTCTCGTCAATGAGTCAGCTAAGAATAAGAATTATAGTTTTGCGCTGGACATATTTGATATTTTTCATGTAATTCGGTACGAATATATATAGTGTTTAGAATTTTGTAAATCCGAGAATATTATTTGTCCGTCAATGATTCTAAACCGTTTGATTTTGTACATCTGAAAAAGTTATGAATAATTCTGAAGCTAAAAGTAAAATATATGTCTGCAATCACTGATTAATCCAAATTATCAACTTAATTATTGATTAATAAAATGTTTTGATCTCAGCGACAACGATAATAGCTTCAAGAGAATATCTGCTTTAGAAGAAGAAGAAGACTATGAGAAATTTCTAGAAATTGTAAAGAATGAAAACTCGCTAACTGACGTCGTGCTCTGTAAGTACTATAAATAAATCTGGTAAAGATTAAAGTAATAAGCGCTGATTTCTTGAAAGCTCTTGTAATTCGGACGCCTTCAACCTTCACTAAAGTTGCTAACAAGTTCCTCAGTAGAACATCTATTGGACTTGAATATATTTTCCGTTGATAGCACTAGCAGTGAGAAATCTTTGTCACAATCAATTTACGTTCAGATAACAACAACAAGTATTTGGATTTAGAAGACGAGCTAGATTATGACTTAGATCTCGAGAACTATGCCGACGACGAGATCTGAAGCAGACCAACAAACTAACATTCCTCATTCCTTGAAAAGCAGTTTCCTAATAATTGTGAATGTGATCGTATATGCATAGCATTACAGCTGTGTAGTTTATCGATTCTCTAAGAGAAGTTATGTCTGTACAGTTAAAATTAAAAACTAAGATTCGCATTTAAAAGTAAAGTATTTCCGTTATCTCTTTTAGTTTTGTGCTCTCCAGAGTCCAGGGCTCTTGTAAAATCGCTCGCCGCCCGAACGTTCCCAACTTGAGTTTGAAATTTAAGTTTAACCGTTTAACGTCAACCCAATTGACAGCCCCAAAACTAAGCTTTAACTCCAAAGAACCAAATTTGCGCTCTACTAATTTGACACGCTTATACGTTATAACTCGTCAGGGGGACGATTTTTTCTGTTTTATCATTGTGGACTGAGTGATAATGAAATTAGGAACCTGCTTTCATACATTGAACTAGACTAAATTGTGAATTGACTCTTACGCAGAGTCAATAAATTTGGGAGTGGTTTCCGTTTATTAAAAGCGATTGTAAAGACATACTGGATAAGTCAGTTCCAAACTAACGGTATTGAAAGCTTTTGATGATTCTTGAGTAACACGCTTTTGTATATCATGTGTACTATTATTCTTTAATTCTTACATCTGCTAAAAGAATAGGGTGTTTATTGTTTATATATTGTACAGGGCGGGCGAAATTGTGACGTATTCATTACTTAATTCTTGTTTTTCGAAAGGGTAATATTCAATAAAACTTCGCGCATGTTAATCTTCAAGCTTATCGAATGAGTCGTCAGCAGCCCTATCTCTATGCAAGTTTACGTCATATCACGTAAACCAGATTTATTACACTTTTACTACTTACTACAGCTAGTTCTAAGACTTGACGTGTACCAATCCGTTAATGGTGAAGCATCAGACCCCTATCGCAGAGCTTGTTAGAGATCTTCATCTTTCATGGACTGGCAACAAAGTTGATATTTTGTCTTTTATTTCTCAGTACGTACTATAATACTGAGACGTACTGAGCTGCTGGCAAATTAGATTACCTAAGAGCGCGCAAATAAGCCGCGCACAAAAAGTGCTGGTGGTGAAGTACTTTTTACGCTCCATTCAGTTTTTTATGCTGAAATTTCCTACTTTTCAAGACGCAATTACCTCAAATCAAGCAAATCTGTCAGGCGCTCCCGACAGTCCCTAGAGACAAATTCACACCACACACACACGACGGCTAAAGGGACAGGTCAACCTCGTCTTAACACAAATAACAAACCATCTCACCGGACGGGACTCCTTCAATGCCTTGAGCTCAATTCAATGCCCGTAGTACGTGGACACTGTCAGCGGATAAATTCAATTTCTCTACAGCAACTGTGCCGCGCATTTACAATGCCGAATGAGACCACTTGATTGTGTCATCTTTTGGATTTCGACTTGATATGTGGGCACTGGGCAACAGTATTTCAACCTATCTCATGTCTTGAAATTTACAACCGTCTAGACTCTAGCTCACTCATTTCCTCACTACTGCTGTTTATTCACATACGGTTTGGCCAGAAATTCAACTCCCACTACAATTTAAAGTGCGACAAATTGATTAATCGGAAGATTGCAGGCGTGATTTTTAATTAATAGCCTAATAACAAGCATGAAACTATCAAGCGATGATCTGTATGTTATTATTGAACTAACCTACATAGGCTACAATCAATGTGTAAACCTATTTCAGAACACAGCCGAATTAGGCTCATCTTACACTACGTCACATTTACCAAGGAAAACGTTTCCGGTTCGAAGAAAAATTGAGAACTTTCTTTTCATATTTAACAGTAATACGCAACCTAAATTGCTTTTTAGTGTCCGGTAAAGTTTTCATTTCTTCAACAACAACCTAAATTAGCTCTCCTCTCAGTCTCAATTTGTCATGTGACCCATACTGCTATCTTATAACTTGTCCCGAGTCGGTAATCAAAAAAGTAACATACAAAATCCCCACTATGGTATCCCAATTTGCCCAAGTTATGAAAACATTGGACTTTAGAACCGCAACTTGCCAATAGAAACCCTTGGCAGTAGGAAATCACCTAAACTACTGATAGCTTTCAGTTCGTGTGTGAGATCACACCTCAAAAGAACATCACGTAATATCACACTTGCACCACTATTGTGTAACCAGACATATTCAGCCTCTGAACCTCCCTTCTTAAAAGGAAGGTTGAGTACGTATTAACCTTCTGCAAAGCTATGACAGTGTCTCGAAATGAGCAAGACACAAATGATCATACCATTGTCAATTACATGACCTCAAACATCAAGGTCCGATCACGATGGAGCACAAGTCATCCAATCCTTGTGTTACTTCTACCATTCTTGGTAAACATGCTCGCCCTACACTGTCTATTTTAGGAAGGGCCGCTGTGCATTTACAACGATATTTGGTTAGAGTACCGGAGTCTTATTACTAATACTTAGATCAAACTTGCGAACCATCCCCTTTAACATCAGTTCTAGTAACACACATGATGACAATAATATGGTTTGACGGTGGAAACGTGTCACGTTAAAGTTTGATCAGTGATAAGTTGGATTATATCTACAGACTACAGAGTACACTTTTTGACATGTATCAATCTGTGGAGAATTAGGAAATTAAGACAGAGCTCCAGTGTCTGTAAAGTGATTGCTTGACGGCAGGCAGGTCTCATGAACTAAAGGACTGTCCGTAACCAGCACTACTGCAAACAAACATCACATGTTAAGTTGCACTATTATGATAGTGAAATGAGAGGAAACTGTCTCACACTTCCTTGGACAGTGTCCGGCTATTGCCCAAATTAGAGGTCAATATTTCCATTCACTCTGATTTCACCGGCAACCTTCCCCAGGGTTGCCACACCCCAGAGGTAGGCAGAGCATCTCAATGCTATCCTCTCGTGGGCTATCTTGGCCCAGCCTCTCCAAAAAATTTAAAAAAAACTATTATGATACATCAGGAATAAAATATCATTTAAAGTTATTATCTGCAACAAGGTTAAAACGCTTTAGTAAGGAGGAAAATTATTCATGACTTACTCATGACTTATTATTTTAACCTGAGCTGATCTAGCTTTAAACTTACTCATGATTCCTAACTACGCGTGATGCTACCTGTCTTTCTCGTTGTCCGCATTAAAGTAATATCCGTGGCCTTTAAATGTAATTAGATTTATTTATAATTTACTATTTAGGTTTTTAGGTTCGTGTGCTTTACTATTTAAGGTAGTCTAGACATTTACGTGGATAATTTTGACGCGATTATTTTGACATTTACAAAGTTAATTCTAACTCAACAGTAACCTATAATACATAACGTAGAATGCACCTCAGATAGTCGTTTGTGACAGTCAGTTAGCAGAGATCTCAAGTTAATATTATATACTGTCAGGAACTTGTGCGGAACATGGAGACGTTGGACTAAAAATAGAAACTCTTCTGTGATTGGTGGATTACAGGTCACGTGATATAATCCTGAGCTTGTTATACGTCAGTAAAGTGCTACTCTGTAGATAGGTCACTATGTAATGTACCTTGTCAAGCAGTACTTAAGCAGATGTTGTGTGAGAATCTTAAATATTTCTGATGAAAATATCTAGTGATTCTGTGAAGGCGACAAACAGAAAATGCTCTTTTCAGTTTAAAAAAATTGTTCAACGTTTCAATGTCACTACATCATGTTTACGTTCTAAAAAGGAATCTAAGAAATCTAAAATATATCTTAAATAGTCAACCTGCAAGTTATGTAAAATAGTCAACCTTCAGCGACATTACATTTATCTAGAGTGCTATTCTCTTCTTCTACCACCTTTGTCGGTGCAGTTTCTCCTCTCTTTCAATAAAACATGTGTCATGAGAAGATATGTTGCACATACCTAGATACAAGTGCCATGTCAAATGTTTAAAACAGAATTGTTCTAACTTTCCACGACGTAAAAACGCATCATGTACACATTTGTGCTCATCAGTATTGTCTTACAGATATGTTAAGTGACAAGGCTTGAATTAGTTCTCTGTGATGTTGAAATCCAAAACTAACATCATCAAGATCTGAGAACAGCTCCTTGTCCAGTGTCCCCGCCTAAAATACGGGCATATGACCATATTAGGGCATATTACTGAGAATCATTGTGCGGTTCAAATTGGCGCTTTATATATAAAGTGACACTGTGGAAAAACCAGCTGGGCGAGGGTTATTTCTTTTAATAAACACTTCACGTGGTTTTTGTGGCACCATTATACCGTGTCAGTCTTACATTCAGAGAGATGCTTTGAAGTTTTCTAGGAATTAAGGCGTTTCCTCGATCAGTAGTAAGCGAGTTGAGAAGTTGAGCACATTTATCACGTGACTTCTTGAAACGATCGGACCATTTTAAGTGCTATTTTCAATACACTTAGCATACTATAAGGAAAATACGTGTTATCTTCAGTACATTTACTATA